CCGTCCCATGTCCATGAGCCCCGAGCAGACCCTGCTCCCACGGGAGGCAGGCCCCAGGAGTCTCAGGACCCCGTGGTGACCCACACAGGCAGGCTTGCCCTAACCACACCAGCCTGGCTCGGGTTGGGATGGGCGCAGTGGTTTTGGGACCCGTGCCAGCTCTAAGTTGTGAAAGCCCCTGCCTGCCATGATCAAGCCTCTCCTTCCTCACTGAATGGGTTCCTCCATAACGCTCAGGCCCTTGCTATGTGCCGGGCGCTGTCCTGGAAGTGACAGAGGGTCAGGGACGTGGCCTTCCACCCAGGTTGCTGTGTCGGGGGGTGGCCACTTATAAATCCAGGTTATTGCCTTGTTGAGCCCCACCCTCCACCCCCACCCCACAGCCTGGGCAAGCTGCAGGCTCACCCAATTTAGGGAGATGAGAAGGTACAGGAGAAGGGGGGAAGTCAGTGGTTTACAAGACAGCACCTGAGTTATCTCATTGAAGAGGGGCAGTGCCTGAAGGGTGTTGGGGGCACCTTGTGGATGGTGGACGATGTTGGTAAGGGTCCTGGCTCCTGCTATGGCTCAGGTACAAGATTTGGGGATTGATGACCCAGTTGTGGAAGCTGTCATTATCCAAAGGCCTTTTGGTTGGCACCCTTCTTCTTACTGTTTCCTTCTCATGATCAGCCTTTGAAATAGCAAAGCCAACTCCCTAGTGTGGCACCCAAGGCACTCAGCCCCTCTCCTGTCTCCCTCCCTGACTTGCAATCCAACCACAGCCACACTTTCACCTTCCCTGCTGCTCCCTCCGTTCCTTGGAAACACCCCACCAGACTCCGCGCTTCGAGCTTCGGCATTCTGCAGGCAGGTCTTTTTGTCTGCTTTCTCCAGCGCCTGGCAGAGCAGGTGCTCAAAACACAGTTTTTGAATGGCGCAGTGAATTCCTTCGAAACCCTCAGCTTTCCGACATAAAAGTCGGTGCTAATTGGATCTTATTTTCTTCAAAAGATTTTGCAGCAGCTGAACGTTTTCACACATTTGTAAAGGGCACGAAGAGCACGTATGAAGATCTATCACTCTTTTCTTGTTTGCAAACACATTGCAGACAAGCGCAGGGCTTTCTAGCAGGGGTGAGGCAACAGGGGACCGTCCCAGAGGGTGAGGGAGGTAAGGCTGTGCCTGACGGATGAAACGGGACTCCCACAGGCAAACAAGACCGGGGAAGGCAGCTAAGTGGGGAGAGGTCTGGCAAGAAAGTGCAGACCCAGGGCGTCCCTGGAGAACAGAGAAGGGGAGGAACGGGTGATGGTGGTGGGCTGGGGAGTCTGAATCACTCCATCTACTTTTGCAAACTGTGGAAGGATCCAAGAAGTGTTTCAGAAAGCCAGACCCTGGCGCTCTGTGTAGGGGGAGCTGGAAAGGAAAGGAGCTGTCGGTGATGAGATGATTTGGGAGGTTCTTTCCTTTTAGATGGCCCCAAGACAGGACGAACAAGATGATTCGATGCAACCACATTTATTGAACACTTATTCCATACAGAGCAAGAAAAAAAATGGGATGTGCTTGTTGGAAGCAGACGTTACTGATTCTGGTTTTAAGCCACCCCTGAATCAAAGAAAGCCAAACTAAACAGAACATTAAGGAATTATTCCGCTTCAAATGCCTGACAGTTTCCTCAAATGCAGCCCGTGACAGACACAAATACCTCCCAGGAAAGGACACTTTCCACTGCACTTTCCAGGCTTCAGACTGAGACAGGCGCACTTTGTTCAGATGCATTTTATGAAGCGGTTAGTCCACAGGCTGGAATATATTTCACCATCAATAAAAACTCACCTTAATTACATTTTCTTTTAAAAATGCAAATGCAAAATAACTTACCAGATCTTTAATGCAATCCGAGAAGTAACTTAAGTTTTTGGTGACTTGAGACTCCTTCCAAACTCAAGTGGGTGTTCAGACTTAATTTAGGAATTGAGGAAAAGGCTAAAAACTTCTGGAAGAAATCAGAATAAAGTTCCCAGGACTTATTAGGAAGTTTTGGGATGTAGTTCATATTCTAGACACATTTCTGAATGACATCATGTGAGATGGCTCCAGGTGTGTGAGTTGTACACGCCTGTGTTCACTGCATGCTGGAGCTCACCTGCACCAAATCCCCTAATCCCTGTCAGACTCAACCCACAGTCACGAAACTCCAGGTCCCACCACACCTCATATGAGACGAAAACACTGACCACCCACCTGCCCTGGGAGCACTTGTTTTATCTTTCTAGTGTTTTCATTCATTCATTCAATATAGATTTATTGAATATCAATTCTGAAGAGCTCCAGGCCGGGTCAGACTTTGGGGATACAGTGGGGGAGGGGTGTGGTTGTGTGTGTGTGGCAAGGGTAGGGAGCAAATATAGCAGTAAAGCCCAGCAATCCAGTCACTGGGAGCCGAGTCCGGAGGATATTGGGAGTTGGGTCCTGAGGGTGAGGCGTGTGCCAGGCAGGCTGATCCCAGACAAGGAAATCCTTCAGCAAGGGCCCAAAGTACTAAAGGGTGTGGTCCATCCACAACCGTCAAAAGCTTTAGTGATATGGGCTGGGCGTGCAATTACACCGAGCCAAGGAGTTTGGACTTGACCTTGTGGGTAACTGCAAGCCAGGGGAAATGCCTCAGTCAGGACTGGCGTGAAGTAGAGGTGGGGCTCGTGCCTGGTTGAGAATGGCCTGCTCTTTCCTTCTTCATAGGAGGAAGAGCTCAGCACCAACCACCTGCATCCTTGGCATCCTGGGAGCAGCTGGCCTAGAAGGGAGCCCACCTACCAGAACTCTGCCTTCCCTCACCTGGCCCCCCGCTGCCGGCACATCAGGGAATGCCTTGGTCGCACTCTGCAAATATTGCCAGATGTGGCCCTGGCCAGAAGCTCGGTTGGTTGGAGAGAAGTCCAATTAAGGAATTATTCCACTTCAAATGCCTGACAGTTTCCTCAAATGCAGCCCGTGACAGACACAACTGCATTCAAAAGGTAGAAGGTTTGATCCCTGGTCGGGAGGCAACCGGTCAGTGGTTCTCTCTCACATCAGTTTTTCCCTCTCAAATCAATTTTAAGAAATTGTCAGACGTGCCACCTGGAAGGTTTGCACTCAGGGTTCCCTGAAGGATTGAAAAATGAACTAATTGCCATGAGAATAACTTTTCTCTAGAAACTCTTGAAAAATGCATTAAGTTATGGAAAAGTTGAAAAGCCAGTAGAAATTATACTCTTTACCTATATTCAGATATTTATTTTTCTGCACCATTAAACCCTAAATACCTCACTGCATCTTTCTTAGGAAGAAGGGACACAGCCTCCAACACCCCCTAGTCACAATCACATCCTGATCATATCCATGACAATCTGTCATTGAAGCAATGTTATTACCTAAAAAAAAGAGTCCACACTGGAATTTCTTGAATTGTCCCAAGACTGTCCTTCATGGCCTTTTCTCTTAAAATCAGAATCCAAATGGGCATCAGGCATCCCACCTGGTTGTTCCCTTGCATCCAGAACTGCCCCTGCCTTGGTCTCTCCTGGAGGTCTCACAGTTTGGACTCTCCTGGTTGTCTCCTTATGTGAGATCTGGTGTGAACGTTTTTTGGCAATAATACACATCGTTTCCCACGGCACCCAATCAGAAGCCACGTAGCTCACGTCAGCTCCCACTACTGGCCAAGGCTAGCTGCTTGGTTTCCACGGGCTCACATGGTAAAGATGTAAATCACCCTTCATAATTAATAGAATTAGGGTCAGTTTCCTCCTCCTAATGTGTGGTTTGACACTCTGAGAACAACAGGATGCTCTGTTTCCAGCGGCCTTCCCCCCC